TTAAGCACCAATGGCCATCTTGCTCTTGTACCCCGTGGGGTCGTTATCCTCCAGGATGCGGAAGGCGCGGCGCCCCTTCCGGCAACGGCGAAGCGCGGGAGCGAGGACGCCCGCGTAGAAATCGCAGGCTGCGTCGGCGCACCACAGGGTGGGCAGGTAGTGCCAGACGCGGACCTTGTTGTTCACGATGGCTGCGGCCACGTGAACCTTGGCGCCTGGGTTCACCCTGTTCCGGTTCCCCTTCGGCGTCGTGAAAGGCTTGAGGACCTCGGGGGAGGGCCCGGCCAGCCGGCCCCCGGCCCGGCCCCCCCCCCGCCCCTCGCATCCGAAAGAAACTACGCCAATAAGAACCCTCATACCAGAAAGAAACGACGCCAAGAAAAACATGTCCGATCGCCTGGACGGGGCCGATCAGACCCGATCAGACTTGGATCGCAGACATGGATCGGGGCAACGATCGGGGGCGGAATCGGCATCTCGACTTCGGCGGCCCGGCGGCCCCCGCCCCCAGCCCCTGGGATCGCACTCGGGACCGAGAGTCGCGCCCCCTCTGCCTTGGTGCGAAGGTGGCCGCGAACGCGACTCTTCTTTGCGTGCGTCTTCGCCCGCTTGGTCATGGGGATGGGGAACACCTTATTGTCGATGATGGCATCGACCTGGTGCGTGAAATAATTGCCCGGGAGCCGCTTCCACCCCGAACGCGCGGCCACGCGCTCCTCCGCCTCCGCGGAGCCGCGGAGCGGCTCCGCGCGGGGAGCGCGCCAGGTGACCCCGAGGCGCTTGAAGTGCCTGGAGGCCGTGCCCTTGTGGACGTCGGAGACCCGCGCGGCCTTCATCACGTCCTTGAGGTGAACCTCGGCCTCGCCCTTGGCCGCCCGAATCAAACGAACCCGCGCGTTGTTCAAGGCGCGGAGCTTGACGGCCGTGAGCTCGGGCTTGCGGCCGCGAGTCTCCGCTGGGCCACGCCTGTGCGTGGCGCCCCGGAGGGCCCGGCGGACGGTCGTCAAATCCGGCCCAGTCTCGTCGAGGGACTCACGGGTCCGACTAACGAGGTCGCGTATCTCCACCGGGGTCTTCCCAGCGGCGTAGAGCGAGAAGCAGAGGTCGAGCTCCCTCTTGCTGAGGTGGGGCGCCATCTGGGCCCGCGACCGAAAAAGGGGTCAGATGGCCTCGGGGCGGGGCGAGGCCGTTGCTGCGGTGGCGACTGAGCCGAAACAGCTGCGCCAGGTGAACGGAAGGCTTGTCGATGTGACCGGAGCACGCGGCGGCGTTCATAGTCTGGCGTCGCTCTTGACGCCGCCCTCAAGACGGGCGGCTTCGGGCAGCCTCAAAGTCCTTGCAGGGCGCCAACAGGAGAGCGCAACCCGTTGGGCAGCGGGGAGGGGGCCAGTCTTGCAACGCAACCCATGCAGATGCCCGTAGCCGAAGATGCCATGGCAAATGAGTCCGCCGTTTGCGAAATAAACGCCCACGTGTGGAAGTACCGAGATCCCCGCCCCGCGCCCCGCATGTCAATGTTGGCCACCGAACACGCCGAAGGGGAGTGCGAAGCGTTGCGAACTAAACGCCCACTTATGTTGGACTGCCCAGCCCTCCCCGTCAACCTTGAAATGCGGGGGAAAGGGGGCGTGCTTCGACGTCTTGTTTTCGATCCCTAAGATGGGCGCTTATTTCGCAAACGGCGGTACTAATAGTACTAGTAGTCGTAGTAGTAGTAGTAGTAGTAGTAGTAGTAGTAGTAGTAGTAGTAGTAGTCGTAGTAGTAGTCGTCGTCGTCGTCGTCGTAGTCGTAGTAGTAATAGAAATCGTAGTAATAGTGGAAGTATAGCATTACTATTCGTACTACTACTAGTAGTAGTAGTAGTAGTAGTAGTAGTAGTAGTAGTAGTAGCAGTAGTAGTAGTAGTAGTAGTAGTAGTAGTAGTAGTAATAGTAGTAGTAGTAGGGCCATACTTCTTTTACGGCCGGAAGCGTCCCACCAATCTACGGCTGGTAATTTCGTAAGGCCGTCAATGCTGGTATACGAAGCCGAATATAAGCTTCGAGTAAATCGCACCTGGTTTCTTGCCGGATTCACTTGCGCCCAACGGTTTTCAAAATATTCATTCGGTACCCTTTCGCGTTCGTCATATTGCCCCCTAGAATCGCGTCGGAGCCCTTAAGACGCCATTTGGGTTCCTGCGGAATTATTCGCGATGCCCGGCGGCGTTCTGATTCGTCGCGAGAGGAATCCTGAGGAATCGGGAAGAATCCTGAGACACCCTGAAGACCCCCCAAAGAATCCCAACAAGAATCCGGAGCATTTTGAGGAATCCGGGCGACTCCCCAGAATTCGTTGAACCGTGAACATGTCCTAAAGACTTCTGGGAGCTCCCGAAGGGCCTCTGACAACTTGTGAGGGCATCCGAGAAGCTAGTGAGGACTGCCGCAAGGCCACTGAGAGTTTCCGAGAACCCTCTGCGAGCCTCCAAGAGGCCCTGGGAAGTTCCATGAAGGTTTCTCAAAGCCCCCGGAAGGCAGTTGAGACACCCCGAGAAACCTCTGAGAGCTTCCCAGGGGTCGCTGGAAATTACCGAGAGGCCCTGAGGGCGCTCGAGAGGGCCTGAAAGCTCCCAAAGGGGCTTCTGGTAGCTTCCGACGGTATCTGAGACGTCCCGAGAGATCTCCAAGGGATCTCTCAGACCTCCCGAGAGGCCTCTCGAATGTCCCGAGAAGCTTCTGACAGCGTCCGAGAGACCTCTGAGATGCCCCGAAGCCCCTCTGAGAGCGCCCGAAAGGCTTCTGGTAGTTCCCGAGAGGCTCCTGAGAGCCCCCGAAAAGTTTCTGAGAACGTCCGGTCGGCTTCGGAGAGCTCCGGGTGAGACCTCAAAGAGCTCCCGCAAGGCCTCTGGAATTTCCCGAGAGGATTCTGCGCGAGTCCGAAAGGCCTCAGAGAGCTCCCGCGAAGCCTCTGGGCATTCTTTAGACGTCCCGAGAGTCCTCTGGGAATTCCTGGAGGGTTTCTGAAAGCTCCCCAGAAACCCATGGGAGCCACCGAAAAACTTCTGAGAGCCTCCGAGGGGGCGCTGGGAGCTTGTGGGGCCGTTTTGAAGGCCCTTGGGGCCGTCTTCGAGATTTCTCGGGGGCTTCGCGAGGCGTTTCGACAGCCTCCTAGGCCGTCTTAAAGCCGTCATCATATAATCTGCGGGGCCATCTTTACTGCATGCCAGAACGGGAAGGCCTCGGTGCGTAAAAGAGACATATATCCAACGTAACATGTTTATTAGGGGCCGTCGGGGCCCTCTTGGGTGAGCCATTGGGGTCCTCGCGGGCAGTCCTGGGGGCCTCTTGGAGCACGGTGAGCGACGAGATGATGATGACCGCGGCGATGGCGAGGATTGACTAGATGGTGCTGATCAGGCGGAAGAGGATGGGGGGGGTGAGCTCAGCAGAACTCAACAGGGCTTAGCAGAACTCAGCAGGGCTTGCCAAAGCTCACCGGGCCTTACCAAGGCTTACGAAGGCTTATCAGGGCTTGTCAACGCTTACCAGGTCAGCAGGGCTTTGCCGTGTTTAGCACAGCTTAGCAAAGCTTAGCGGGGCGAAGCAGACCAGAGTTTGCAGGGCCTTGCAGAACCCAGCAGGGCGCTGCAGGGCTTAGCTCAGCCCAGCAGGGCGTAGCAGGGCGAAGGAGGGTATGCCAGGGCGTACCAGCGCTTATTTCAGTGCTTACCAGAACTCAACAGGGGTCAGCAGGACTTAGCAAGGCCAAGCAGACTGCAGCAGGGCCTCGCAGGGCTTCGCGGGGCTGCGCAAGGCTCAGCAGAGCTTAGCAACAGTCCCCGCGCATTTGTGGCCGGTACTTTTGGCTGGGCCCTCATTCCCAGCGTATGCAAATCTTGTTCGGGACTTGTGTATTTCACATTTCGCCTGCAGCCGGTTCATGTGGTTTCCTATTGGGCCCCTACAAGTTTCCAAGGAATGCGTTGAATTCCGATTGAAGTTCGCTAGGAGAGCACCCGATTGGATTCCTGTTCAGTTCTTATTATGAAGTGTTATTGGTTTTTTGATTGAAATCTAAGGAGGCCATCCTATTGGAAATCCAACCGAATTCAAATCGGAAGGCTTCCGATTGAACCCCAATACGGAGGCCGCCCGCCCAAACCCAAACCCAAACCCACATCCAATTCAAAACCCAAATCTCCAAGTGCATAGGTCAAGTGTGGCCCTAGTAGTTATAGGAAGAGGAGTAGGAGTAGTAGTAGTACTACTAACAATCGTAGTAGTAGTAGTAGTAGTAGTAGTAGTAGTAGTAGTAGTAGTCGTCGTCGTAGTGGTAGTAGTAGTAGTAGTAGTAGTCGTCGTCGTCGCAGTACGGATAATAGTCGTAGTAGTAGTAGTAGAAGAAGTAGTAGTAATAGTAGTTGTAGTAGTAGTAGTAGTAGTAGTCGTATCAATAACAGTAGTAGCAGTGGTAGCAGTAGTAGTAGTAGGCGTCGTCGTCGTCGTAGTCATAGTCGCAGACGTAGTAGTAGAAGTAGTAATCAAAATGGCGGTACCTATCAACATTCGTAGTCGTAGTGGTGATAGTACTAGTAGTAGTCCTAGTAGTAGTAGTAGTAGTAGTAGTAGTAGTAGTACTAGTAGTAGTAGTAATAGCAATAAACAATTCTAGTCGTAGTAGTCGTAGTACTTGCAGTAGTCGTAGTAGTAGTAGCAGTCGTAGTAATCGTAGTAGTAGTAGAAGTAGTAGTAGTAGTAGTAGTAGTAGTAGCAGTAGTAGTAATAGTAATAGTCGTAGTCGTAGTAGTAGTAATAGTGGTAGTAATAATAGTTGTAGTGGTTGAAATGGTAGGAGTAGTAGTAGTAGTAGTAGTAGTAGTAGTAGTAGTAGTAGTAGTAGTAGTAGTAGTAGTAGTAATAGTAAGGGTAGCAGTAGTTATAATAATAGTGAACATAGTAATAACAATGATAATCGTAATCGTAGTGGTCGTACTAGTAGTAGTCGTAGTAGTAGTCGTGGTGCTAGTAGTAGTAGTAGTAGTAGTAGTAGTAGTAGTAGTAGTAGTGGTAGTAGTAGCAGTAGTAGTAATAAATAATAGCATTCGTAGTAGTAGTAATAAAAGTAGGAGTAGTAGTCGTCGTAATAATGACAAGAGTCGTACACGTAGAAGTAGTAGGAGTAGTAGAAGTAGCAGTAGTAGTAGTAGAAGTAAAATTCGTAGTAGTAGTAGCAGTAGTAGTAGTAGTAGTAGTAGTAGTAGTAATAGTAGTAGTAATAGTAGTAGTAGTAGTTGTTGTTGTTGTAGCCGTAGTGATCGTAGTTGTCGTGGGAGTAGGAGTAGTAGTAGTAATAGTAGTAGTAGTAGTGGTAGTAGTAGTAGTAGTAGTAGTAGTAGTAGTAGTAGTACTTCTAGTACTACTTCTACTGCTAGTGGTAGTAATAGTAGTAGTAGTAGAAGTAGTAGTAGTAGTAGTAGCAGTAGTAGTAGTAGTAGTAGTAGTCGTAATAGTAGTAGTAATAGTAGTAGGAGTAGTGGTGGTAGTCGATGCAGTACCCGTAGTAGTCGCAGTAGTCGTAGTAGAAGTAATAGTAGTAGTAATAGTAGTAGTAGTAGTAGTCGTAGTAGTAGTAGTAGTAGTAGTAGTAGTAGTAGTAGTAGTAGTAGTAGTAATAGTAAGTAGTAGTAGTAGTAGTCGTAGTAATAGTAGTAGTAGTAGTAGTAGTAGTAGTAGTAGTAGTAGTAGTAGTAGTAGTAGTAGTAGTAGTAGTAGTAGTAGTAGTAGTAGTAGTAGTAGTAGTATAGTAGTAGTAGTAGTAGTAGTAGTAGTAGTAGTAGTAGTAGTGTAGTAGTAGTAGTAGCCGTAGTGATCGTAGTTGTCGTGGGAGTAGGAGTAGTAGTAGTAATAGTAGTAGTAGTAGTGGTAGTAGTAGTAGTAGTAGTAGTAGTAGTAGTAGTAGTAGTAGTACTTCTAGTACTACTTCTACTGCTAGTGGTAGTAATAGTAGTAGTAGTAGAAGCAGTAGTAATAGTAGTAGTAGCAGTAGTAGTAGTAGTAGTAGTAGTCGTAGTAGTAGTAATAGTAGTAGGAGTAGTGGTGGTAGTCGATGCAGTACCCGTAGTAGTCGCAGTAGTCGTAGTAGAAGTAATAGTAGTAGTAATAGTAGTAGTAGTAGTAGTCGTAGTAGTAGTAGTAGTAGTAGTAGTAGTAGTAGTAATAGCAGTAGTAGTAGTAGTCGTAGTAATAGTAGTAGTAGTAGTAGTAGTAGTAGTAGTAGTAGTAGTACTACTAGTAGTAGTAGTAGTAGTAGTAGTAGTAGTAGTAGTAGTAGTAGTAGTAGTAGTAGTAGTAGTAGTAGTAGTAGTGTAGTAGTAGTAGTAGTAGTAGTAGTAGTAGTAGTAGTAGTAGTAGTAGTAGTAGTAGTAGTAGTAGTAGTAGTAGTAGTAGGAGTAGTAGTAGTAGTCGTAGTAGTAGTAGTAGTAGTAGTAGTAGTAGTAGTAGTAGTAGTAGTAGTGGTAGTAGTAGTAGTAGTAGTAGTAGTAGTAATAATAGCACTACAAACTTATGGCATCAATGATGATACTGATGATGCTGATGATGAGGAGGATGCGGTGGGAAGATTCAAGCTACGATTCGTACTTTCACCAGTGATGATGAAGTTCGGCCCGCCGGTTCCCACCGCCGACCTAAACTGGATTGGCCGGAGATCACCAACACTCAGGACTCAAGGGGGGGATGCTGTATTATCTGGGGCATGCGGTTATCCCCTCCGCCTCATCCGGCTCAGCCCCAACCTTGCTCCGCCCTTGCCCTCCGCCCTCTTCCCGTGGATCTGGGCGGCATCGGGGCCCCTCCTCCTGCTGGTGAAGCTCCGCAACCTCGTCGGCCTGCCCCATCTCGCTCCTCATCTCCATTCCCTTTTCTATCACAGGGTCAATGTACACGCGCACACACATAGTACATACATACGAACATGTGTATGTATATAGATATACACATGTAATTGTATATATCCGCCACCGTGCCCTGAGGCACGAATTGGCATGTCGTCAGGTCCCTTCGAGTTCTCTGCGATAGAACACTGTAACTATAGAAAGGGCTCACCGCTCAGAGTCCCTGTCGCTCTCGGGGGTTGCACGCGTGACTTTTTCAAAGGCCAAGAGCGCATTGTTCGGGACATGCATGTCCAACATGGCCTAATATGGCCCCGAGTACCGTCCTGGAAACCTCTTGGGCGCTTCCTGGGCCGTCTTGGAGTCCATGGAGGGCGGCCGCCCAAGAAATTCAGATCGTCAACATCCATGGTTGTTGTATGGTTTTAACATTACCGCTTTTCTTGTCTTCAGAACGTCAAAGACGGCCCAAGAGGCGCCCACGATCGCCCCAAAACGGCCCAAAAAAACCCAGGAGAAGCCCAAGAGGCTACCATGACAACCCAAGGCTACAGGGACCACATCGGGGATCGATTGGCGATTGGGGGTCGACACATCCCCACCCTGAGCCTATCCCTCCTGATATTGCCCCTGACCTCCCAGAGGGAGAACAACAAGGCAAACACATAACTTCTCGGAGGTCCGCGCGGATTTCTTGGATTGGCGCTGGAGCCCCCTCCTTGGCGCTCGGAGCGCGCCATGGGGCAGCGCCCGAGGCGCCGCCAGGGGAGTCCAGGGCCGATCCAAGAGATCCGCGCCGGCGCAAACCTGCGAGAAAGTATGCTCACAGTGGGCGCATTGGATAAGGGTTTTTGCTGTTTTCTGCAGGGCTGGACCTAAACGTGGTTTTTCGTTGTGTGTTCGTTTCGTTTTTCGTTTTGCTCTACCTGTTCTCCTGTACCTCCTTGTCAACACGAAAAACAAAACACGGCCGAAGTCCAGCAACGCAGCGATCAGGTCCAGCCCTGTTCTGAATGCGAGCGTGCCCCCAGGCAAATCCTGGATGTCTGCACGCTCTCGGGGCTCTCTGGCCGTCCCACGGCCCTCCGTTTCCTCGCCCCTCGCCTGCCTCGCGCCCCCTGCGCCTCGGTTTTCGCAACGGATGCGCCCCGCCGTTGGCCTGACCCCTTCTTTAGAAGAAGAACAGAACAAACGCCATAAACACAGACGATGCAGGGATGGGAGGAGGGAGGGGGAAGAGGAGAAGGATGGAAGGAACGCGGGGTGCTCTCTTCAAAGCGAGGACCCAAGACCACAGGATGGTTGGGAACAAACAGGCGCCATAAACACAAACGTTTGGCGCTCCGCGCGGACTCCCTGGATCGGCGCTAGACCCCCCTCCCTGGCGCGCGGAGCGCGCCAGGGGCGGCGCCCGAGGAGCCGCCAGAGGGTCCCAGCGCGGATCCGAGAAATCCGCGCGCACCGCACAAAGTTTAAGTTTATGCCGATTTGTCTTCTTCGGTTCTTGGGCCCAACATGCCGCAGACCAACCATTGTTCTTCGACCGCCCCTCTGGGGAGACAGACTGTTACCGATACCACTACTCCCCGGACCTTTCCCGGGGTGCTTTCTGACCAGGATGTCGAAGCGAAGCCAGCGGTGGCCCAAAAACGGGGAAAAAAATGAAAAAAGGGAAGGGTAAAACAAGGCCCTCCCAGGAGGCCCAAAGAAGGGGGAAAAAAGGGGAAGGGTAAAGTAGGGGCCCGACCACGAGAAACCGTCCACAAGAAACGCAAACCTGAGACCCCAGGACGTCTATTGACTTTTGGTGTGGGAACGTCACGCTTTCCATTGCAAGACCATCTAAACCCAAGAAACCCTGGGCACCCTGGAGACAAGCAGGGTGTTTCTTGGGATGGGCCCCCACTGTACCTGGTTTGAGGGGGGCGCCTTCCTTCGGGGGAAGAGGATGGGGGGGAGGAGGAGGAGGAGGAGGAGGAGGAGGAGGAGGAGGAGGAGGAGGAGGAGGAGGAGGAGGAGAAGAGAGGAGGAGGACAGAGGAGGAATCACGCGATAGTTGCGTGGGTACCTTCTCCTCCTCTGACTCTCCCCTTCGCGCTCCTCTCCCCCGCCCCTCCCCCGGGTGGGCGCCGCCCTCCCGGCCCGCGGCGTAAGCGGGCGGTGAGGCATGGCCTCGAAGCAGAGGAGCAGACCGCTCGGCAGGACCGGCTGCCGACGACGAGGACGACGACGAGGACGTCGACGAGGACGACGACGACGATGACGAGGACGACGGCGGCGGCGGCGGCGACGACGACGAAGACGACGACCAGAACGAGGACAAGGACGAGGACGGCGACGACGACGAGGACGACGGGGACGAGGACGTCGACGACGACGACGGCGACGACGACGTCGACGACGACGACGGCGACGACGACGACGCCGACGCCGACGAGGACGAGGACGACGACGTCTTCGAGCCAGCGCGCGCGCGCCTCGAGGAGGAGGAGGCCGCCAACGATCAAGAGGAAAACGAACTTGCCTCGCTTTTGACCACAGTCTCTTCCAAACGGGAGCCAAGCGACACCTAACTACTCGTGGGGTGGCCCGCACCGGCCAGGCTGCCTGACGAGAAGGCGCGTGGTATGACCTGGTTTTGCCTGGAAGCGAAAGCGGGTCAGGCATTTCACCCTGCTGCATGTACGTACACCTGTACTGTTGATGGCCAGGGCCATCCCGCGCCTAGGATCGGTGAGCGCGCCCTCCTGGGGCAGGAAAGCATGTACACCGATCCTGGGCCCGGGATCGGCCTAGCCAAGATCCGCGTATGTGTATAGCTGGTACCATCCTATTCCAGGTGCCCCCCGGGCATGCGGCTCAGGGGCTCCCAGACTGGGGCGCCTGCTGGGGGAGGACCAGACAGGTCTGGGTCTGGGGGTCGAAAGCCGACCTCCGCACCGGTTGCGGCGTGTGCTCTGACCAGGACGTCGAGGCGGATCCAACGGTGGCGACGAGGACCCCCCCCCCCTCGAGGCTCACCAAAGGCGAACCTGAGAAAGAGGAGGAGGAGGATGAAAAGCAGAAAAAGGAGGAGGAGGAGCAGCAGGAGGAGGAGGGGGAGGAGGGAGGTGGGAACAGGGAGGAGTGAGGAGGGAGGACCATCGCATGCTAATGAGGAAGGCTAGGGTTAGGCCGACCCGACCCTAACCGAAACCTTAGGGTTACATCCGCTCTCCCTTACGCAATCTTTCGTCCCTACGTCGCCGCCCCTTCCTTGAGGAGCTGGGCTGCAGGGAAGGGCAAGGAAAGTCGGGGGCGGGCCTTCATACTGTCCTTAGGATGACGGCCGCCTGAAACCAGAGACCACGCACCTTCCGAGAACTTGCTTCTGAAGCGCTCACTACATTCGCCTTCGAGTCCCTTGAGGTTGCTCTCCGAGTATCGGCCGCGCCTCTTGCAAATAATGAGAAAGGGCTCCTCGACGTCAAGGTAATCGCTAATCGTTCGACGGTGCTTCTTGTGGTCCCTAATTAGCTGGGACAGCACTGCAGAATTGCCAGGGCAAGCTTCGCGCGAGCGGGCCTGGCGGGTGCTGTCGCTGCGGGCTGGGCACAGCCAGTGGTTGTCGATCCAACCCCACTGGTGGCAAGCCAAAACCTGAGGGTTCCGGCGGCCCACGCGGGCTCGCCGAGGATGACCCTCAGGGGGCTGAGGGGGTGGGGTCCAGTCCTTGACCGCACCCGCGGCACCAAAAGGGGGGTTGAGGCTCTTGGGGGGCTTCTCGTGAGGGAGGAGGGAGGAGGAGGAGGAGGAGGAGGAGGAGAGGAGGAGGAGGAGGAGGAGGAGGAGGAGCAGGAGGAGGAGGAGAAGGAGGAGGAGGAGGAGGAGGAGGAGGAGGAGAAGGAGGAGGAGGGAAGGGAGGAGAGGGAGGAGGAGGAGGGAGGAGGGGAGGAGGAGGAGGAGGAGGAGGAGGAGTCCAGAGGGGGGGCGGGGCCCGCATGGGCAGGACGCCGCCGAGGCTGCTCCTCGGGGCGCTCCCAGGGGAGGGCAGCGCTCCACGCCTCCGTGCGCAGGAGGGGGCCGCGCGCGGGACGGGCCCGTCGGGGCCCCCGGCCGGCCGCGCGCTGCCCCCGCGACCACGGAGGCGTCCGGGTCGTCGCCGCAGGCGGAGACGACGAGGATCGGCTCCGAGCGCTGGCCTGGGCTGCGGTCGGCGGGCTGCGCGGGGGGCGCCGTGGCTTTGGCGCCGGGGGAGGTGAGGAGCGTATACGCGGCTGGAGGCGCACACCGCCGCGCCCAGGTGGCCTCGGCGCGCCCAAGCGGACGACGCCGACGCAGCGGCAGGCGCACGACAGGCCCCGCGCCCCGCGCCACGGGTGGACGACGACGGCACGGCGGCAGGCCCCACGGACGGCGAGCCCATCGCTCCCGAGGCGGCCGTTGCCCTGGTGGCTGAGGCACCCTCCCCAAGACGCAAGGCCGCGCATCGGAACAAGCAGCTCGGTGTCACGTGCGGGGCGGGGCCACGTGCCAGATGCACAGTTGAGGGTCCTTGGCCAAACCGGAGCCGAGCGCTGGAAAAAGGCGCGTCGTCGTCGTCGTCGTCGTCGTTTCGTCGTCGTCGTCGTCGTCGTCGTCGTCGTCGTCGTCGTCGTCGTCGTCGTCGTCGTCGTTTCGTCGTCGTCGTCGTGGTTTCGTCGTCGTCGTCGTCGTGGCTCGTCGTCGTCGTCGTCACGTGTGTATCCAGCTCGCGCGCAGGCCGGCCGCGTCATGTCTCCAGCTTCATTGCAAGCCTGGGCCTCCAGGATCAGCGCAGACAGCCGAGCCCTGTGCTCGTGGTGGCGCCGGGGTGGCAAGACGGCACTGCCAACAGCATGCAAGAGGCCAGAGCGATGCTGAGGCTCATGACTCTAAAATCGTCGGCCTGCCTCTGAACCACACTTTCGGATAACTAGTCAGGTGCCGTGCGACAGAACCCAGTCGTGGCGCTCCGGCATCGTGTACTGCAGCTTCGTGTCGTGACGAACCCAGCTTTGGTTTCTGGCACCTCGGTGATCGTTCAAGCTTGAACCACCGTCGTCTTCTCGCTCGCCAGATTGTTGCATATTGGTAGGATCTGGGCCACTGGCGGCGATCAACCTCGAACGCCCGCGGCGGGGTCGCCGCCGCGTCGACACGACGCGAACCTGCCGCTGTCTGAAAGGTCTGCGGATACGCAAACTATACGGCTATACGGTCTGGCTGACAACACCCGGTACTTTCGACCTGGGCCCTCCCCCCTCTTGCCTCCTCGCTCCTCCCTTCGCTCCTCCATCGCCCTCCGCGCTCATCCGCACTGCCCCCCTCTCTGAGGACGAGAAGATCGAGTGCTCAGAGATGACCTTCTCTTGAACGCGACCTCTGCCCGCGCTTAGCAACAGAGGAGCTCGGCGACCTCCCCATCTGAAGACAATGACGTCTCGCATCTTGCGCTTCACCCTGCGCTCTCGTGCGTGCTCCTCCTCTTGCTGCTGCCGTCTGCTGCCGCAGCCATCCGAGGCGCAAGCTACGGTTATGTCGGGCGTGTCCCCCTACAGGGAGGATTTCGACGAAAATAAATAATACCCCCAAAATGCCCCCAAAAGGCCAAACAATACTCAAAACAAAAATATCCCCAGACTATTCTTGGATTATGTTTTGACTATTTTTGTTTGTTCCCTACCTAGGCTCTGCCTGAGGCTTAAAGGGCCGGGCAGTGGGGCACGCCCCAGGCGGTTCCCCCAGGATCCGCCCCGCGGTTCCCCCAGTCCCCTGGGAGCTTTAGCTTTAGCTTTAGCTTTAGCTTTAGCCTTAGCCTTAGCTGTAGCTTAGCTTTAGCTTAGCGTTCGCTTAGCTTTAGCTTAGCGTGACCTTAGTTTTAGCTTAGCGCTAGCTTAGCTGCAGCTTAGCTTTAGCCTTAGCTTCAGCTTAGCTTCAGCTTAGCTTTAGCTTAGCTTTAGCTTAGCGTTACCTTAGCTTTAGCTTAGCGTTAGCTTAGCTTTAGCTTAACTTTAGCTTAGCGTTGTATTAGATTTAGCTTAGCGTTATCTTAGCTGTAGCTTAGTTTTAGCCTTAGCTTTAGCTTAGATTTAGCCTTAGCTTTACCTTAGCTTTAGCTTAGCTGCAGCTTAGCTTTAGCTTAACGTTAGCTTAGCTTTAGCTTAGCTTTAGCTTAGCTTTAGCTTAGATTTATCTTAGTTTTAGCTTAGCTGCAGCTTAGCTTTACTGCTACTACTAATGCTGCTCTCCTAGGGGCTCCAACTCCTAGGTAGGGTCGCACTGGGACAATTTAGTTTTCGTCGAAAATTCCCCTGTAGGGGGACAGGCCCGACGTAAAGCTGTGGTCGCCCTCGGCCGAACCATACGTGTTGCTCGACAGGGAACGCGGATCGCGACCCTCCGCCCTTCGACCTCGGACGCCCAGAAAGGGGCGCGGGGGACAGAAAAGGGCACGAGGAGACGCCGCCAGGACGAGGAGACATTCGGGCGAGGATACAGAGGGGAACAAACAGTGACACAAACATAAAAACTCGGAGGTCCGCGCGGATGTCTCGGATCGGCGCTGGACCCCCCTCTCTGGCGCGCGGAGCGCGCCAGGGGCGGCGCGTGAGGCGCCGCCAGGGGGGCCCATCGCCGATCCGAGTTTTCATATTTATGCCACTTTTTGTTTCCCTAATACATATTTTCCCACATCCCTGGGCGGCTGGAAAGTTTATACCCTTACGGTGGCACCGTAGGGGTATAGACTTTCCAGCCGCCCATGGGGCAGGTGTCCCCGACGGCGAAAAAGTTGATGTTATACCGCTCTTCGCCCGTTAAATGTCGGGCGTCCAGACCTGGGGCCAGCCGGCCGACCCCCGCCGGCTCGCCGGTGAGGCGGTCGAAGAAGGCCAGCGGCGAGGCCCGCAGGAGCTCCAGGTCCTGCGGCGGCCACGCGGCGCCGCCGCGCGCGGCGGGCGGCCCGCGGGGGCGCCGCCAGGGGGCGGGGGGGGGGGCCCCGACCCTGACCTTCCAGAGAGCTATGTTTTAGCACGGGAGGCTTAAAACCCTAACAACAACGCAACGAAACGGCCCAAAACCAAGACGTAGAATTGCTCTGGGACAGGTTTTTTGAGTCGCGTGCTATTTTTTAGCCCTCCTGGAAGGTCAGGGGAGAACATACACCACCACCACGTCGATGCCTCCTCCCTCCTTTACCCATCATCTTCCTCGCCTCGTTCCTGGGGGAGGCAGGGGGATGAGGGAGGTGGCGGTGGTGTGTACCTCTGGGCCCCGTAGGGGAGGGGGAGGGGCTGGCTTCGGAAGGGCGTGCACCAGGCTTCGGCGCTGGTCTCGCCGGCGCTAGCTTCGCCGGCGCTGGCTTCGCCCCGCTGGTTTCGCCGACGGCCGGTTTCGCTGGCGCTGGTTTCGCCCCGCTGGTGGCCTGCAGGGCGCGGCCAGGAGGCGGGGGGGGGAGACTGGTTTCGGAGGGGCGTACACCACTGCCTAGAGTTAAGAAAACTTCACGCCAAGACGATGGACGTCACTGTCAGCGACTCCTTACATCAACGGCCAGGTCCAGGTATACGAAAGTCCATTGGAAAAATGAGCTCCAAGAAAACGCCCAGGGTCCAGTCAAGATTCTTGGTTTTCATGAACAACGTCTCGAGTCCACGAGCGGTGGGGCTTGTGCTTGAGATCTCTGATGGGTGTACTGAGGGGGCAGCGGCCGAGGTGGGGTTGGAAGAGAATCGCTCCCAGCGGCCCCAGAAGAAGGAAGTGTACGCATCCAGCTGGGGTCGTTCCCTCCCTCCCTCCCTCCCTCCATCCATCCATCCCGCCCTCACTCCCTCCTCCTCCTCCTCCTCCTCCTCCTCCTCCTCCTCCTCCTCCTCCTCCTCCTCCTCCTCCTCCTCCTCCTCCTCCTCCTCCTACCCTGCCAATGCAGACCCACGATGGGTGGGCGGGCGCCAGACTTTTGCATCGGCAGCGCGCCGGCGGTCGCACGCGCTTGGGCGCGGGCGGGCCCCCTCGGAAGGCTCGGAAGGCCCCCGGCCTGCTGCGAAGATCTCTGATCCTGCCCCGCCGGCACGGAACACTTTCTTCGGAAGGCGCGGGTGCTCGTGAGGAGCCCTGCCGCCTTCTGCGAAGGTCTGCTCCTTCTCACTCCCCCCCCCCGGGCGCGCCGCTAAGTCAGGAAAAGGACGAGACCCCATCTGGTATTTGTCGGGCTGGACAGACCCTCCTTTAGTAGAACGTGGTTTAGTGAAAACGACATCGGGCCCAAACCTGGCGGGCGCAAGCCTGGAAAATAACCGCCACGGCGCCCTCTCGAGAACCGAAAACGGACAATTCACTAATCGAGGTGTCACTGTTGGGGTTCTGTCCACCCCCGGCAATCTGGTATTTGACGCGAGCTCCTGGTGCAGACGTTCCACGGAGCCGGGCCGTGAAAATCCTGGATGGGCAAACCCGCAGGTCGGGTGATCTCGAGCCTTACGTCTATAGAGGAAATGCGCAGCTAGATTCGGCGGTGGACAAACCTCCCTTTAATAAAACTCCCCTTAGTGAAAACGGCCTGGGACCGAAACCGACGGACCTGGACCCGCAAAAATGACGGCCGCGACGCCCTCTCGCGAACCGAAAACGGCCAATTCCTCAATCGACGTGTCAGGGTAGGATGAAATGAGCTTTAGGAGGTGAGCGCGGCTTTCTTCCATCGGCGCTGGACCCCCCTGCCTGGCGCGCGGAGCGCGCCAGGCACGGACCCGGAGGCGCCGCCAGGGAGGCCCCGACGCTGATACAGGACATTCGCGGGGATTTCCAGGAGTTTATGTTGCTGCCGTTTTTTTCTTCAGCAGGGCGGCAGGATCTATACATCCACTGGCCCGAGCCTGGCGCATCCTGGGCATGCGGCATGCCGCCCTGGCCAAGCCAGGAGGTCGTATACACCACTCCTGGGCCCAAGATGGGCCAGGTCTGGGACCGGTGATGGGTATAGATCCCGCCGCCCTATCCGAGTTTCTCCGAAGGAGGCGGGGTCGCTGCAGTGACGCCGACGGCGGCGAACGGGGCGTCTCGGCAGCGGAGCCGGGCACAGGCCCGCCTCGGCTCAGCCCAGGAGCGCCTGCACGGCGAGCTCCAGCGACCAGCCCGAGGCCTGCAGGGCCGCCCGCGCCTGCGCCTCGGAGAAGCCCATCGCCGTCACCTCTCGGTACGGTCGGGATGGCTACGGAAAGACACATCGTGGTCGACAAGATCTGGCTGGAACTGTCCACTGCCCTGGGCCTGGCCCAGCCTGGGCCCACGAGGAGGCGTATACACCGATCTTGGGCCCAGGATGGGCCAGGTCTGGTGCAGTGGATCTGTATGGACCTCGTCGCCCTAGCATGCCGACTGCGAGCCCTGCTCATCCTGAACGGGACCCGCTGCCGGTGCCGCCGCGGACGTGGCCCACGTCGAAACGGAAGGCCGCCTGCCCAGCAGCGGCCGCTGTCGGATCTGGACAGAATTTGCTGCTGGGCATCGTGCCCCATTTCCCGTGGGAGAAAACACGCACGGACTGTGATTTGTCCTTCTCTTTTTTTTTCGTGTGTGTGTGTGTTTGTGTTTTGTTCCCAGTGTGTTTTTTCCCCTGTGTGTGTTTGTCCTTGTGCTGTTCTTGTGCAATTTCCTCCTTCGGGCGTCCAAAACCTGTGCCAGCGCCTGCTGCTTCTGGGCCTCCGGCGGCTCCGGCGCTGCAGCGGGCGCCTGCTGTGCGGAGCCCCAGCGCCGTGTGGCGACGGCCCGCGCGGTGACCTCGAGATCCTCGGCAGCCTCACCGCGCGGTCCGCCGCCGCACGGCTTTGGACCTTGGGGGGCCCCCGTCGCCCGAGACGTCCTCGGAGAACGACCCGAGCCCCCGAGTCCCAAAACCGTGCGGTGACGCCGAAGCCCCACTGACTCACCCCGCGGTGTGGTCACCACACCGCTTGGGGGCCCCTGGCGCCTGCTGGACGAAGGTGGGGGCCGCTGGCCCGCCGGAGACCTGCTGGAGGAACTGGGCGATCGCGGGCAGCTCGTCGGCTGCGATGCCGCCGTGCTGCCTGGCAAAGGCCACGGCCACCTGAGAGGCGACGGGTCTCACGCGAGATGAAACACGGAGGAGGAGGAGGAGGGGGAGGAGGAGGAGGAGGAGGAGGAGGAGGAGGAGGAGGAGGAGGAGGAGGAGGAGGAGGAGGGGGCCCTCGCCGGGCCTCAGCTTGCGCGGGCCGCCAGCGCGGCACGCTGCGCAGGAAGCGAGGGCGCCCCCGCGCGACCTTCTGCGCGGGCAGCCTGCGCGCGAGTGTCGGTGAAGGCGACCCCGTTTTTTCCGGGGATGGACAGAGCCTCCTTTGAATAAAATGTGGCTTCGTGAAAACGACGTCGGCCCCGAACCTGGCGGGCGCAGGCCTGGAGAATGACGGCCGCGGCGCCCTCTCGATCGAACCGAACACGGACAAAATCACGAATCGACGCGTCAGGGTTGGGGGTTATGCCCACCCCCGATTTCTGCTGCCACGCTCACCTGCTGGGGATCGTCTCCCCGGTTCCAGCTGATCTTCAGTCTCCGGCCGTCGGCCACCTCCACGGGGTAGCTGAAGTCGTAGGACCCCCCGTGGGCTGCGCCTGCCCCGGGCCCTGCCATGGCCTGATGCTGCTGCAGCACGAAGGCGGTCACGTCGCCGGCATGGGCGGGGTCCAGCCCGTTCGCCTCCACGAACCTCCTGGCCACCGCCTGCGGCTCCTCGCCCCGGTTCCACTGCAGCGCCATCTTCCGCCCCCCCAAGGTGACGTCGGTGCTGTCAGACGAACAAACTCCGGCACAGGCATGACCTTCCAAAGGTCCGCGCGGGCTTCTCGGCTCTGCGCTGGACCCCCCTCCCTGGCGCGCGGGGCGCGCCAGGGGCGCTGCTGGCGGCGCCGCCAGGTGAGGCCTCCAGGATGAGGTCGAAGGATCGCGCCGCATCGCAGATGCATGAGCGATGTATCGGCAATGCATCGGCGATGCGTCGGCGACGTCGGCGATGCATCGCCGCCATCGGCGTGGCGAAACTCGGGCTCCGCATCGAGCCGCATCGGCACTGCGTCGGCGATGCGGCGCGATCATCCCACCCCATCTGGTCGGACCCCATCTGGGAGGCCTAGGGCCAGGGAGGCCCAGCGCATGTCCGAGAAAACCGCACGGACCCTCGGAAGTTTACGCGTATGCTGATGTTTCTTCTTCGAGCAGTGATCCTGACGGGGCCCGGGGGGACACACAACATATGTTACAGGTCCCCCTCTCTGCTTCTCGATGTTTGCCGACTTCTCTCTTCCCTTCCAGCTCCCCCACTCAGAGATTTCATCATGATCAACAAACATTTGCAAGGGCTCCTAAGTTCGCGCTTCGCGCTGCGCGAATAACTTCGCGCTCTCGCGCCGCCCCCCAAGGGGGAGAAGAGGAGGACGAGGAGGAGGAGGAGGAGAAGGAACGAGGACCGCGAAGCGCGAATAACTTCGCGCCCTCGTGGGAGCCCTTGATTTGTGTCTGCGTTTATTTTTGCCTCCTGAGATCCCACGCGCCACCCGTGCCAACAGCCGTGGGGCCGGGGGGTGACCGGCGCGCCGCCTGCAGCGCCCGCGCCCGGGCGGCGTGCTCCTCCCGCGCCGGCGCCGCGGCTGCCCGCAGGGGGCTCCGCGTCCACACCGTGCAGCCCGCGTCCCCGGCGGCCGCTGCTTGTCGAGGAAGAAGTAACGGCATGCATGTAAACTTTCGACGGTCCGCTTGGCTTTCTTTGATCCGCGCTGGACCCCCCTGGGCGGCACCTCCGGCTTTTCTTTGATCGCTCATGCATCTGCGATGCGGCGCGATCCTTCGACCTCATCCTGGAGGCCTCACCTGGCGGCGCCGCCAGCAGCGCCCCTGGCGCGCTCCGCGCGCCAGGGGGCGGGTCCAGCGCAGATCCAAGAGTCCCGCGCGGAACGTCAGAAGTTTGCGTTTGCGCAGTTTTTTCTTCCTCGAGCTAGGTCGCCAGACTCCAGGAAGGCCAGGCCGTACACCTCACCGCAGAGCTGGATCCGCTCGACCAGCCTTAGGCCACCGTCGCCAGCGAGTGCCATCACCGCCAGCGTCCCGTCGTCCGCGCCGGCCGCGAGCTCCCCGCTGCTGGCGCAGAAGCCAATGGAGAGCAAGTAGGTGTTGGCGACCCTCATCTCCGCTAGCTGTTTACCAGAGGCCGGGTCCCAGACACGGGCGAAGCCGTCGTTGGTGGCGGAGGCCAGGAGGCCCGAGTCGCCGCAGGCGCAGAGCGCCCTCACGGGCGCTCCCGCCCCCACGGACCGAAGCCTTGCGCCGCCGCGCCAAATGCCTATTGTCTGGTCGCCGCTGCCGCTCGCGATGTCGCCGCCTGGCAGGATGGCGACGGCGTTGACCGCCACCTCGTGCCCCTGCAGCACCCCTGACTGGGCCCCTCCATGCCATGCGCGAACCGTCTTGTCCCACCCACCGGAGAAGAGGGAGCCGTCGTCGCGCCGCGCCAGGCAGCAGACAACGTGTACGTTCGTGCCCTGCACGCCCTCTCCATGCCCCTCCAAGGTGGACTCCACGGCGCCATTGCGCCAAAGTAGGATCTTGCCGTCGCGGCCTGCCGACGCGATACTCTCGGGCCCCATGGCAGCCACCGCCAGCACTCCGTCCACCCCAGCGCGTCGCTGGTGTCCGCTCAGCAGACGAGGCTCACTCTCAAACCCTTGGCTGTAGACGCGGACCAAGTTGTCCATGGCGCCTGTGGCCAGTCCACCCTGGGGCAGCGCGCACACGCACCGCACGGCGCTGTCGGCCCGCAGCTGCGCGGCCAGCAGGAAGGGCCCCAGCCCCACAGACGCGAGCGCTTCGAGAGCCTCCCGTGCTGCTGCCGCAACCTCCGCGGCGGGCACCTGCGCCGGCACCTCGAGCGCGTCACCGGCCTCCGCGAAGCCCGCGGCCGCCAGCAGCTCGCGGGCCCCGTCGCAGCCGAGGGCTTTGCTGATCTTCGAGTTGCCGACGCGCACGCGCCTGAACTTCTCCTCGCCGGGCGACCTGGCCAGGTTCCCCAACAGCTTCGCGACCACCCCCACCGAGTCCGCCTCCGCCAGCGCCCCCGAGGGGTTCGCTCGGAGAGCCGCCGCTGCCGCCTGCGCGGCGCTCTGGGGTGCTGGCGGCGCCGGCGCCGCGCTGGACTGCCCCAGGGACATCGCCATCGCGGCAGCGAGGTCATCCTCTGGGAGAGCGCCAGCCGTGCGCCTGCACTACCCCTGACCATGCCTGGTATCTGCGCGCGTACTTTCCAGGCCAGGCCAGGGACGTATGCGCATTGATTCGGGAACCATCGCAGGCCTAGAGATTGACACCAACACCAATTTCGGCGGTGTGCTTCCACCGAGGGAAGAAGATCCCGATCTCGGTGATGGTGGTAATATTCTGGCTTCTAAGGTGGCCGAACTATTACCACCAACACCGAAAATCTAGGATCACCTTCCCCCTGTGGAGGCAACCCCCTGTCTTGGTGTTGGTGCCAATTTCCAGGCCTCCGAAACCAGGATGGGCTGGGCAAGGGTTGGTGCAAACACTGTTGGCAGCCCCCCGTCCTCGTCGTCCGCCATCGCTGGCCCGCGTGCCGCTTCCCCGCCGGGTGCGCTCAGCGACGGGGAGGTGCGCGCACGTGACAGCTCGAACAGAACCGGCTTGGTCTCGGAGGAACGAGCAGATTAACGAGGAGGAGGACGACGGTGGTGGTCGGTCGCTCGACGCCGCACCATGGCCACCGAGATAATGGCCATGCTGGCGGCAATGAGGGAGCACGCTCGTGAGCAGGGTATCTCTTTCGATCTGTAGCTTCTGGTGGCACTCTCTGATGTTTCGATAGTTTGCTGAAGACAGTCCTGAATGTGCACGTTTGGCCTGCGGCCCAGGGGCGGTCCCAAAGACAAGTGTGTTGGCCAGCTCACCAGCTATGCTGCGCTAAACCAGATCATTGAATCAACTATCGGAAGATCGCTGTACAGACTGCAGGTGTAGTGCTTGAAATCTGCCACTGTGCCGCGAGACGCTGAGAGGAGTGTACTGCTTCATATGGTAAATTCCGGGCCCCAAGGCCCCAGCTCTCAAGCGCTCACAAGCGCTCCCGCGCGATCTCGGAGTGTTCTGCGCGGTCTTCCCCGAGGCCTCGCGAGCGTGCTTCGGACCGCACGCGCTGGAGATGCAAGCTGGCATGAAGGCCTGTCCAAAGTTGAACTGGCCCAATCTCGTGAACAAATGTGGCATGCCGACGTGCATGGCTGCCACTGCTCTCAAGAGCAAACTTCTGGACCCTTCATGCGAGGACAGCGGCAGGTCCACTACGGTGCGACCAGATCACAAGGATGCGCGGTAAGGACGCAAGACCCTCAGACGCCCAAGCTGAAGCCGAAGCTGGAAGCCCATGGCCCACGGCCAGGGGTTAGGATGGGCTGGGAGGCAAGGATGCAATGATACCCTCGGACAGCTGTCCATCCTTTGCCAGCCTGGAACCTGCCCCTGCCCCTACGATTGACATCGCCTCATCCCGATGCCGACCTTCAGGATTGCCTCAGCTTTCGAGGGTGCAGTCCCAAGATTGTCCCCACCTTTCGGCTTCTGAATCCTAGGGGTAGAGGAGCATGATAAGGAGGAGGACGAGGAGGAGGAGGAGGAGGAAGAGGAGGAGGAGGAGGAGGAGGAGGAGGCAGAGGAGAACGAGAAGGATTAGGAGGAGGAGGGGGAGCAGGAGGAGGAGGAGGGGGAGGAAGAGGAGCAGGAGCAGGAGGAGGAGGAGGAGGAGGAGGAGGGACAAGTTCGAGGCTGGGGCCAGTCCTCATGGTGCTGCTCTTGACTGCGCCCTGCTAGGGCCCGGCGCCCCGCGCCCACGGGCCAGCGATGCCGGCGAGGGACGGCAGAGCGCGGAGGGCCCGGCGGCCGGAGGGCGGCAGCGGGGCAGGAGGCCTCGCCCGCGGGCCTCGCCGCACGGCCCGCCACCGCACCGCTCCTTGGGAGCCTCGAGGCCCCAGCCGCCCGAGACAGCCTCGAAGAAGGGCCCGGGTCGTGAGGCGGAGGAGGCGGAGGAGGAGGAGGAGGAGGAGGAGGAGGAGGAGGAGGAGGAGGAGGAGGAGGAGGAGGGAGGAAGAGGAGGAGTCCCAGAGCCGAGCGGTCGCCCCGAATCCCCGCTGACGCACCAGGCGGCGGGGTCACCGCAGCGTCTGGGGGCCCCCGGGTCGGAGGAGCTTTATCCTTCCCCAGCTTTATCCTTCCCCAGCTTGCCACCGCTCGGGCGTTCATGCCCCGCGCATTGTCTGGATTCGTGCGCGTCTTGCCCTCAAGCTGGTCCGACATGTTCCAAGACGGTCCAGACTTTCTGGCGCTGGCCGCGCCCCCAACACATGCACACGTTCGAGACATGCCAGGCCAGCAGCGTCTGGAGAGGCTCCGCCCCGCAGCGCATGCCCCGCGGGCCTCCTTTGCGTCCACGTCGCAGGCCACCGGCGGCGAGGGGGCGAAGGAGAGCTTGGCGAGGGCGCCGGCGTAGGTGGCGGCGACGGTGCTGGCGTCGGTGTTGGTGTTAGCGCTGGCGATGGTGCCGACGCTAGTGCCAGCGTCGGTGCTGGCGTCGGTGCTGGTGCAGGCGCTGCCGCCGGCGTAGGCGCAAGCGTTGATGCTGGCATTGGTGCTGGCGTCGGCTCCCAGGACTGGCTGTGTCGGTATGACGCTGCACCATAGGAAGAGGACAGATAGTTTTCCCCTCCCCCACAGGCGACGAGGACACTACGCTTCAAGAGCAGATCGAATCATCACAGCAAGGCTGCGCCACCACGTGGGATTGAGGAGCGCCTGGGTAGATGCTGGTCCCCGTCGTGCTATTTAGCGACGTGGTACTCGTCGCGTTGCTTGTCTCCCGAGTGGGCGTCGATGTGGAGCTGCTGGTCCCGGTCGTGGTGCTCCGCGTGGAGCTGCTGATCCCCGTCGAGCTGTGCAGTGGCGTAGTGCTCGTCGCGCTGCTGGTCTCACAGGTGGACGCCGACGCCGAGCTGCTGGTCCCAGTCGTGGTGCCCCGCGTGGGGCTGCTGGACTCCGTTGTGCTGCGTTGCGTCGTGGTACGCGTCGAACTGCTTGCCTCCCCACTGGACATCGACGTCGGGCTGTTGGTCTCAATCGTGGTGCTCCGATTGGAGCTGCCGGGCCCCGGTGTAGTGTTTAGTGACGTGGTACTCGTCGCGTTTCTTGTCTCACCAACGCATGTCGACGTCGAGGTACTGGTCACGATCATGGTGCTCCGCGTGGGGCTGCTGGTCACACTCTTGCTGCTTATCGGCGTGGTACTCGCCACGCTGCTTGTTTCACGAATGAACGTCTACGGGGAGCTGCCAAACTGGTCGGTGCGGCAGGCCGCTATCAGGTCGGTGCGGGAGTCGGACGATGCAGGAGACGGTGAGCTGTTAGGCGCGGGAGTCTTTTTTTGCACCAGGATGCCCATCTGCATGCCAGCCGCTCGTGTATGAGACGCGTCTCAAGTGCAACCGCTTGCGCGGTCTCGGCCCGATCAGAATCACTGGCATCACGTGGTGCCTGACCTGCTAGAAAGATGGTTCATGATTCGCACTGCCACTGCAAATTGCCCCTTTCACAGGACACCGCTAAGCAAGCCTAATGCCCGCTGCCCCTCTCGAAGACACTCCCGAGTCCCCGAGCGCCAACGCCTCGGGCATTTTCAATCCGACCACCGCGGCACAATGGCCCACGCCACATGGCCGGAGTCTGCGAGCTAGTCGGCACCAGAGTCGGTGAGCTGGTCGGGGAAGGAGCCCGCAGGCTGGTCGGTGCGGCAGGCCGCCATCCGGTCGGCGCGGGAGTTGCTGAGCTGATCGATGAGGGGGCCAGCAGCCAGATCGGTGCGGCAGGCCACGACCTGGTCGGTGCGGGAGTCGGTGAGAGGGTCGATGAGGAAGTCGATGATCTGGTCGGCGTGGGAGTCGGCGAGCTGGACGGCACGGGAGTCGGTGAGCTGGTCGATGAGGGAGCCAGTAAGCTGGTCGGTGCGGCCGGCTGCAATCTAGTCGGTCCGGGAATTGGCGAGATGGTCGGCGAAGGTGCCGGCGAGCTGGTCGGCGCGGGAGTCGGTGAGCTGGTCGATGAGGGAGTCGGTGAGCTGGACGGCGTGGGAGTCTGCGAGCTGGTCGGCACCAGTGTCGGTGAGCTGGTCAAGGAGGGAGCCGGCAGGCTAGTCGGTGCGGCAGTCCGCGGCCCGGTCGGCGCTGGAGTCGGCGAGCTGTTCGATAAGGGGGCCAGCAAGCTGATCGGTGCGGCAGGCCCAGAACTGGTCGGGGCGGGAGTCGGTGAACTGCTAGATGAGGGAGCCGGCAAACTGGTCTGGTCTATTCTGGTCGGTGCAGGTTTGGGCGAGATGGTCGCTGAAGCAGCTGGTAAGCTGGTCGGTGAGGCTGGCCACAATCTGATCGGTGCGGGATTCAGCTGGTCGATGCGGGAGTCGGTGAGCTGGTCGGCGCGGGAGTCGGCCACATTCACCAATGACAAATCAGCGGCGTTGTGTAGCAAGACGTGGGTCGGGGGCTCGTGGCTTTCTTGCCCAGCGGGAGTTAACCTACTCATGCTTCGCTTAGCTGGTAGCAGAGGGGGCACACATAAAACTGTATTTTTCCGGCTGTGTTCAGACACGGATGTAAAATAAATCGTTCGCCGCACCGTCTCCGTGACATTTGAGGGAGACAAGATTTGTCCGCCCTTGCTCCGCGTGAAGCTGCTGGTTCCTGTCGTGGCGCTTAGCGACGTGGTTCTCGACGAGCTACTTGCCTCAAGAATGGATGTCAACGTGGAGCTGCTGGTCCCGGTAGTGGTGCTCCGGGGCTGTTGATCCCCGACGTGGTGCTGAGCGACGTGATGCTCATCCCGCTGCTCGTCGCGCGATTGGATGCCGACGCCGAGCTGTTTGTCCCGGTCGCGGTGCTCCGCGTGGTGCTGCTGGCCCCCGTCATGCTGCTTAGCGACGTAGTGCCCTCGGTCGTCTGAGCCCCAATCGTGATGCTTAGCGACGTGGTGTCGAACTGTTGGTCTCGGTCGTGGTGCTCCGCGTGGAGCTGCAGGTCCTCGTCGTGCTGCTTAGCGACGCGGTACCCGCTGGTGGACGTCGAAGTCGAGTCGGAGTCGGACTTGGAGGCGTTGGAGGAGACAAAGACGAGGATGGAGAACAAGGCGAAGCAGGAGGCGCAGGAGTCGGCGAAAGCAAAGAGGACGGGGACGGCGAAACCATGCCCGTCAAAGACTTCGCCGACTGCAAGCTGTCGAGCCTCATTGAAGCTGGCGGCGACGACGACGTTCACCGCGTTACCCTTCCCGGGCACGCCGCTGCGGGGAACCGCCCGTGCAGCGTAGTCGCCTCAACCGGGCGTGCCCCTGGATGGCCCGGTGTAGCAGCTGGCCCATGCACTGTCGCATGTAGGCATCCCGGGCGCATCGCTCCGGAAGGTACGCTGGCGCACCACATTGACCGAGCGATAGAGCACGTGCGTGCAGATCGCCTGCGTACATAAGGTCGCGTCGTCCATGGTGACTCCCAGTAGACCGTGGGCAAAACTGTGGCTCGACACCGTTGGTCCAAAACGACCCCGCTGCCACCTGACCCACGCGGGGCACCGGAAGTAGTGTTCGACTGAGTCGGCCGCCATCGCACTGCATCCAAGGACGCATGGGCCTTGTCGGCCACGCAAGCTGCGCGTGCGACGGTCCGTCGTCCATCTATTGTATATGGCACTCAGGGTTGCCGCGCGCACTCTGGGCGGGACAATCCGGCGCGGGCGCCCCAATTGGCAGGCGACGCGTCGCGCCGTCCTGCCTGGAAAGTCTGGGAGTCGCCATCGCGCCAGCCTTCTGCGCAGACGCAATTCCACATTGAAGTTGTGGCCAAGGAGAGCCCCCCCAAGGAGCCGCGACGATTTCAAGATGGAGCAATTTCCCACATGTTGCTTTCCTCAAGCTGGACCGCGGGGAATCATCATGGAACGCCCACGCGCCATCGAATGGCCGCGCGCCGCCTGCCCCCGCCATTGAATCGCGCCAGGCGAGCCGCGGAGGCGCGACCAACGCGGCCCCCGAGCCAGGCCGCCACGTGACCGCCATGGAATTCATCGCCGCGATGACGTTTCATTCCGCAGTCGCTGGGCATAGCGTCCGCGCGAATTTGGGCGCGCGCAGCCGTCGAAGCGCAGACTGAATCGGCGCGCGCAGCCGTCGAAACGCTGGGTGCTGCCCCAGCCGCGCGGCCGATAGCTTGCGCGGGAGAAACACCTCCCAAGCTGATTTACGACGGAACGCGACGGCGCGGGACCGACAGACCACAAGAAAGGGCCACTCTGGAGACCCCGCATGAGGTAGAAACGCTCGAGCGCAAGCGCCGCGTGGGGAATTGGCGGGGCGCTGAGGCCGGTTCGATCTCGTGCCCGCGCAATTTGAGCAAACTCCGCTTCCGGGGAATAGCGCTCGTGGGGCCCGCCGCGGGCGCGGGGGCCGCTGGCGCAGACTCTGCCGCAAACGCGGCAAGGTCCCGGCGCCCTTCCGCAATGGCCACGGCGCGCGGCTGCCCTGGCGGCGAGGAAGGGGGGCCCGACGGCAAACGCCGGCTTCGAAGCCTCAACGGCCGGCCGCGGGCGCGGCCTCGCAATCGCGAGCCCGCCGCGCGAGACAGCGCAGCCCGCCGCGAGGGCGTCCTCTCCAACCGCGCGGGGGTCCCCGGGGGAACCCCTGGCCCCCGACCCCCCCCCGCCTTTCCGCGGCGCCGTGCCCCCCTCCCCGCTTGGCCACGATTTGGGACTTGTGGCCCCGATTTTGCGCGCTTTTTTGGCGCCCCTTCCGCGGTGGCGCACTTCTTTGACATCGATTTTTCTTACAATTAAATCAATAAGAAAAACATACTGGTGAAAATCGCGGGTGGTTTCGTGGGCCCTTGCAAAAGGAGGCGCGGAATCGTGAACTAAAATCGCGGGCAAAATCGTGTCCAAAGTCGTGGGCAAAATGGTGTCCGAAATCGTAGGCAAAATCACGATGCCGAAATCGTGGGCGCAGAATCGCGGGCCTGCCCGGCGCGCCGGCATGCCAGGCAGGCGTGCCCGCGCAACATCAGCGACGGCAAAGGACAAAGAAAGAGGAGGGGGCGACAGCAGCAGCAGGAAGGTCAGCAGCAGCAGCGGGAAGAGGAAATAATGGAAAGCAGCAGCAAGAGAGGACGAGAGAAGGAGTCGTCGAAATTGGCCCGCCCGCTCGTCGCGCCATGGTGCTTCGCCAGAGCGAACAGGGCGCACATGGTGCACGTAGTGGTGAGGGAGGAACCTTCGGTCAACTCCACAGGGAAGTGATGCTGCGAGGTTGCGAATGGGCGCTCCTGGACTCCACCACCCGCATCACCAGCATCACCCTGCGAGGCGCTCTGGGCCGCGAGCTGCTGCTGGGAGAAGACGTTCAAGTAGTACTGGTACATCTGAGATTGCTCTGGGGTGAGTGTGGCGTTCTCGCATTGGACTGGCTCGGCTGGCCCAGCTGCGCGCTCGGCGGCGGGCCGTTCCATCAAGTCCTGCGGCGGCGGCTCTGGTGCTGCCGCGCGGAGAGGGTCCGCCTCCACGTCGCGCCCAGCACTGTCGCCGAGCGCCTCGGCGGCGGGCCGGGCCATCAAGCTCTCGGGCGGCGGTGGACGAGCGGCGTCGCTGCCCGCGCTGCTGCTCATCGCGGCCACGCTGGGAGCCGTCGGCGCCCAGAGGCTCTCACGCCCCATGCGTAACCCTGCCTGAAGTCGAAGAAACTTGAGATTGAATGCAGCGATTGCAACAACGATTCCTTATGAAATAAGAAGAGGAGGAGGAGGAGGAGGAGGAGGAGGAGGAGGAGGAGGAGGAGGAGGAGGAGGAGGAGGAGGAGGAGGAGGAGGAGGAGGAGGAGAAGAAGGACGGGGAGAACGAGGAGGAGGAGGGGGAGGGGGGGAGGAAGGAGAGGGCGGGAACAATGAGGACACCGGGGTTGGAGGAAGAGGCGGAGGAATAGGAGGAGGAGGAGGAGGAGGAGGAGGAGGAGGAGGAGGAGGAGGAGGAGGAGGAGGGCTCGAATTTTTAAACCCGAAAGCGAGGGGCCGAAAACAGTACCATCTGGGATTTGTCTGGGATTTCTGGGGCCCTCCTGGGGCGTCCGGGAGCTCTTGGGGGGCTCCCGGGAGCGCCTCCAAAGGGCCGAAGGAAGCACCAAGAAGCCTCCAAGAGGTCCTCCAAGAGGGCTCCAACAGGGCCCCCAAAAACCCAGACAAATCCCAGACTTGCCTGTTTCACTGTCTGGGATTTTTCTGGGATTTCTGGGGCCCTCCTGGGGCGTCCGGGAGCTCTTGGGGGGCTCCCGGGAGCGCCTCCAGAGGGCCGAAGAGAGCACCAAGAAGCCTCCAAGAGGGCTCCAACAGGGCCCCCCAAAACCCAGACAAATCCCAGACTTGCCTGTTTCACCGTCTAAGATTTGTCTGGGATTTCTGGGGCCCTCCTGGGGCGTCCGGGAGCTCTTGGGGGGTTCCCAGGAGCGCCTCCAGAGGGCCGAAGAGAGCACCAGGAAGCCTCCAAGAGGGCTCCAACAGGGCCCCCCGAATCCCAGACAAATCCCAGGCTTGCTTGTTTCACCGTCTGGGATTTGTCTGGGATTTCTGGGGCCCTCCTGGGGCGTCTGGGAGCTCTTTGGGGGTTCCCGGGAGCGCCTCCAGAGGGCCGAACAGAACACCAAGAAGCCTCCAAGAGGGCTCCAACAGGGCCCCAAAAATCCAAGACAAATCCCAGACTTGCTTGTTTCACCGTCTGGGATTTGTCTGGGATTTCTGGGGCCCTCCTGGGGCGTCCGGGAGCTCTTGGGGGGCTCCCGAAAGCGCCTCCAGAAGGCCGAAGAAAGCACCAGGAAGCCTCCAAGAGGACCCCAAGAGGGCTCCAACAGGGCCCCCCGAATCCCAGACAAATCCCAGACTTGCCTGTTTCACTGTCTGGGATTTTTCTGGGATTTCCGGGGCTCTCCTGGGGCGTCTGGGAGCCTCCGGGAGGCTGCAGAGGGCGTCCCAAGAGAGCCGAAGCAAACACCAAGAAGTACCCAAAAGGACCCCAAGAGGGCTCCAACAGGGCCCCAAAAATCTCAGACAAATCCCAGACTTGCTTCTTGCAGTGGCAGGGATTTCTTTAAGATTTTCGGAGCGCTCCTGGGGGGTCCGGGAGCCTCCGGGAGACTGCAAAAAGCGCCCCAAGAGAGCCGAAAGAAACTCCAAGAAGCTTCCAAGAGGACCCCCAGAGGGCTCCAACAGGGCCCCCCGAATCCCAGACAAATCCAAGACCCGGAGAGAAGGCCGGGGAGAGGCGGAGGAGAGGAGGAGGAGGAGGAGGAAAACGACGACGACGACGATGATGACGGCGGCGGCGGGGGACGACGGCGGCGGCGACGACGACGACAGTATCGGAGCCCAGGGCCGGCCCTCGGACGCCGCTTCTGCTGGAGGCAGTGGCTCCGCCGGGGGGTGGCTGTCGTCGTCGTCGTCGCCGTCGTCGTCGTCGTCGTCGGCGCGGTCGTCGTCGTCGTCGTCGTCGTCGGCGCGGTCGTCGTCGTCGTCGTCGTCGTCGTCGTCGTCGTCGTCGTCGTCGTCGTCGTCGTCGTCGCCGTCGTCCCCAGAAGGCACCTCCGATGAACAAGAGAGCCGAATGATCGGTCGAGCGGGATTCGCCTCCTCCCCCTCCTCGTCCTTCTCCTCCTCCTCCCTCTCCTCCTCCTCCTCCTCATCCTCCTTCTCTGCAGACGAATCCAGGATTTCCGATCGTATCGCGAGGGAGGGGGGAGCAGACATTTCTCTGCTGCACGCGCGTCTCACCTCATTCTGCATACTCTAGCAGAACCGTTGCCATGAAGTCCCGCTTCGGCGCGTCGTGTTTCAGGTTATCCAGCTGCTGGAATTTTGCAGGATCCTTGTCACGAAGGTGACGACGGAAACCCTCTTGGACGCGCGTCCAAGCCTCGCCACAGAGTTGCTTGAGAGCCTCGCCATCAATGGCTGGCCCATCCTTCCCCTGCTTGTTGTGCGCCGTCTTGCGCCTCCGGATCTTCGTCAGGGCCTCCTCCAAAGCAGTGGGCAGATTGCCATCGTACTTCCTCTTTGCCGGGGCAACGGCCGCAGGACCTTTCGCGGTCGTCGTCGTCGTCGTCGTCGTCGTCGTCGTCGTCGTCGTCGTCGTCGGCGCGGTCGTCGTCGTCGTCGTCGTCGTCGTCGTCGGCGCGGTCGTCGTCGTCGTCGCCGTCGTCGTCGTCGTCGTCGTCGTCGTCGTCGTCGTCGTCCTGGCGCTTCCTCTGGAACGGGCGCGGCGGCCGCAGCGCCTCCCGACAGCGCGCGAGAACGGCGAAGTAGCCGAGGAACGGGGTTCGTGAATTCGCGGTGCTCGCAAAACCCCCACTGGATGTCGTGGAGCTCGAGCCCGGGCTGGTCGCAACCGTATTGTGCACGCGTGTCGAACACGGCGCGGAAGCAGCGGCTCGCATCGGAGATGCTGGTGTCGAACTCCTTGCTGCCCTCCACGCCTGCTGCCCGAAGAAACCCATCCCAAGACCCGTGGCCGACGGGAATGTATGTCTCGGCGTCGCTTGGCCAGTACTCCGAACCGAATACCACCCCGACGCCACGGAGATCTAACATGAGCTCCTTGCACCAAAAAGCAGGGATGCGTCCCTCAGCAACGTGGAACGGGCCGCTGTGCTCATACCCGCTCAAGGATACCACATCACCGAAGTAAGGCACGCCGCACGCCAGCCAACAGTAATCCCTCCAAGGGAGATTGCATTTTCGCAAGCATTGAAGCGTGGGCGCCACCTTTTCCCGCAACATGACAGTCTGCGCAATCCGCCAGGCTGCGACGGCGAAATCCCACCAGCCCTTTGGGCGTGAGTGGTTTAGCGAGCTCTCTCTGTCCTCAACCCCCCTTCTTCCCCTTCGGGGAGGGGTTTACCCCTTCCCCTACCCCCTCCCCCTGGACCTGGAGAGGGAGTCCCGAGCGTGGTCAGGGGAGTCTTTTTCGACGCCTGGGAGGGCCAAAATCGACGACCCTCACGAGGATTCTGGCCCCGAGGGGGGGGGGGGGACCGTTTGGCGCCTCCGCTCGTCGTTGAAGCAAAAAACATTGATTTTACTAGGATTTTGGCCCCATTTTGGACTCCTGAGGGGGCCGCGCTCATCTTCCTTTATAGCAAAATCATTGATTTTACGAAGGTTTGGGGCTCATTTTGTCCTTCTCAGGGGGCAGCGCTCATCTGCGCTTCTGAGGAGGTCGCAAGAAGCCCCAAGATGGCCCCAAGAGGCCCCCAGGAGGCTCCCAAGAGGCCTTTTTTTTTCACCCCAGATCCAGCGCCGCGGACTCCGCCACGCTGGAGGCTTGCCGCACTGAGCTCAGTGCGGCCCCGCGAGGCCCGCGGGCCTCACCCACCTCTCCTCGTGGGCACCATCTCGGCGGGGAGCGGCCTGCCCGTCTGCGGGTGGCAGCCGCGGAGGATGCGGTCCCGCCTCTTCCTCCTGGAGTCCGCTCCTCCGTCGGCCCCTCGCGGCGGCAGGGGCCCAGGGCAGGCGCGGCCCAAGCTGGCCCTCCTCACCGCCGAGTGGGCCCCGCACACGCGGCAGACGACGTAGGGGCCGACGACCTCCACGACATGCGCCCTCCTGAGGTCCTCCTCAGCGCTCGGCGGGCCCTCGAGGACAGGCACGTCCGCCGCCTCCCTGCATCTCCGAGGCGACCTCGACCTCCGAGGTGACCTCCCTGCAGCACTGCCGTCATCTCCATCATCTTCGCCTGCAGCTGCCGCCGCCACCGCCACGCCGGCGCAGGCCGCCGCCGCCCCCAAGGCGCCGCCAGCCCCACGCCCTGCAGCCGTGGATGCCTCCTGCCTTGCCGCCCTCTGCCTCCGTGCACATGCGGCTCCCACTCTAGCCTCCAGCGAGCCCCTCTCCTCGCTGGACTGGTGGCCCACCGCCTGCCAGGGAGGGGGTGCGCAAGCGGTGGCCCACAGCTTCTTCCTCATCCTGGCCGAAGCTGCACGCTTGCCGCACCGCGTGCACACCAGCCAAGCTCCACACACCTCGACCTCGTGCCTCGTGAGGCTGACGTAGGGCCTCTGCTGCTTCCTCCTTCTGCTCGGCCCCGTCCTGGGCGGCACGTCGGGCCACCCTTCCTTCATCTCCTGGTACCACCAGCCGATGTTCTGGATGGCCCACTTCACCTTCTCATCCAGGCTCTCCAGGGTCTGCTCCCTGCCGTACCCGAAGTCCTCCGCGGCCCCACGCTTGGCCAGGGCGTCCACCGCCTCATTGCCCCTGGCCACTTGCTGCGCCAAGCCCTCGAGCCTGCTGATGGCCGCTCTGGACCTGTGGGCCTTCACGTGCATCACCCACTCTGGCTCAAGCCCCACGTCCGCGATCTTGTGCCAGATCCTCCTCCAAACGTCCGCGTGCGGCCTTCCCCAGCTTAGGCACCACCTCGGCCCCCTCCTGATGCCGTCAAGGATGCCCTGGTGGTCCGTGAAGATCCTGCACGGCGGCAGCACCGTCTCCAAGGTCTTTAAGAAGGCCCACATCTCGGCCCTCTTGACCGTCTTCTGCTCCTTGAATCGGCATGGCAAGGGGCCCCAGAGCTGCACCGTGGGGGCGCCTCCCGCGTCGATGGCCATCGCGGCCCACCCCGCCTGCGCCCAGCAGCTGGTGCCCAGCTTGGAGCCGTCGCACACGATGTCGCCCGACAGGAGGGCGTCCGTCCCCTGGAGGACGTCGCAGTGGAAGTCCGCCTCGTCGACCGTCCTGTGGGCCCAGTCCGCCGAGGGGTCCCGCGCCAGCCCTCGCGTCCAGAGCAAGCTATCCTCCTGCTGCTCCGCCGCGTGCTGCCACTCCGCCTGCGCTCGCCTCCTGACCTCGAGCAGCGCGGGGCACCGAAAGAAACGATGATGCGGGGTGCCGACCGCCAGCCCACACCCAATACAGATGTCGGTCGGCGTGATGCTGACCTCGGCGAGCCTGTTCATGGTCCAGGCCCCCGCCAGCGCCACCTTCCTAGCCGCCCGCTTCGCATGCGCAGGGAAAGCCCGCGCGGCCAGCTGCGCCGCCACTGGCGGGAGCCTCGGGCCTGGGGCTAGGCTCTCCATGCCTGGCTGCTGCGCCGTCCACTGCTCCCACAACACCTTGCGCAGGTCAGCCCTGAGGAGCGCCCCAACGTCAGTGGGGCACACCGCCGTGAGGTCCACCATCTCGCCGTCCATAGTGCAGTAGACCGTCCACGACGGCCAGGTCCACCTCGCTCTCCTCAGTGACATGATGACCGCCCCCGCGGGTCCTTTGACCTTGGCCCACTGCGGGCTCATGCCCACCTCCTTCTGCTGCTGCCTCCACGCGTTGCTCATCTGCTCGCTCAGGAGGACAGCCTCACTGCCGACACTCGTCCTCCTGCTTATCTTGTCCTCCGCGATCTCCATTTGGCTGCCCGCCACCAGCAGCAGCTCGACCAGGCTCTCAATGGTGCTGACGCCGAGGTAGCCTTCCTCTTCCTGCATGCCTCCTTCGCTTGCTTCCCAAGGACATTGCGCCCTTCTCGACGCCAGCAGCCGCCGCACCACCTTCTGCAGCGCGACCTGCTCTTGCCTGTACTGCGAGATGACCTGGGCGCGGCAGTCATCGTCGAGCGCGTCGAGGTAACGGAAGGCTGCCCGCCTTCTCCAGCACGCCCTCCGCCACGCACGCCGACACACCTCTGCAGCAAGACACTCCACCTCCTGAGCCTCCTCCTGGGGCAAGCTTCCACCTGTGGCCTTGGCAGCCGCTTCCCTCCTGAGTTCACTGCGGAGGCCTGCCTGCGCTGCCTCCTGCAGGTATTCTGCAACCAAGGGAACACTCCACTGGCTCCAGTCCTCCTGCCGCTGGTGCTTCTCGCCCCTCAGATTAGGGCTCCCTCATGATCTCCCACACCCTCACCAGGGTCGGGAGGAGGCCGATGGCACGATCGACCGCTACACTCTTCGGGATCAGGAAGAAAATGACCGTGGCTGCATGCTGCGGCCAGACGAGCGTGCGCTCCACCTCCCTCAGGATCTGCAGGAGCGTCCAGTGCGCAGCGTCTGAAGCCCCTTGCAGCATGGCGGGGTGCCAGCGGTCCACTCCTTGTGCTGTCTTTCTCTTGAAGGTGCGCGCCACTTTCTTTAGCTTGGCCAAGTCGCTCTCTGTGAACTCTGGCAACTCCTGACGCGGCTCGGTCTCCCACCGCCGCTCCTGCTCCTGCATCGGGTCGTTCACCTTCCAGACTGCGTTCCACTCTCCCAGGGCCGCTTCCGCTGCCCGCAGCGGGTCTGCCGAAGCTTGGGGTGTACTCGCTCTCCTCGGCCTCCAAATGTCCACTGGTTTGCTGATTCTGTGGAGTCCGCCCGCTGCTCCTTTCGCAGCCTCCTCCAGCTTCGCAGCCCACTGCCTCCTTCTTTCATTTATCAGGTTCTGGTCCTCCCGCTTGGACCGCTCCTTGGCCTCCAGGATCATCGCGTCCAGGCTGGCTTTCTGGTCAGCACCTCGCCAGCGCCCTTTCGCCAGCAGGGTACACCTTTCTCTCCACCGCTCCTTCTCCTCGCCGACCAGCTCACACCTGAAATCGTGGCTCACGCTCCTGAAGCGCTCCTCCAGATCACTAGCTATCATGCACCACTCCTGGCGCGCACGGGCACTACCCGAAGACGACCTGAGCCTCTCGTAGTACCCCGCCAGGGTCTGCAAAGAGCGCGCGAGCCACCGCCACCACAGAGCGTCTCCTTGCGGGGCTGGGTGGTTGCCGCCTCCTCTGAGGATCGCTCTCTCTTTCCAGCGCGGTGGATCCGCACGCCCTGCGCACTCATGCCTGGGGTGCCACTCCAGCCCCCGCAGCGCGAAAGCCTCGCGCTCCAGCTTGCCGATGAAGGAAGCCCAGGTCCTGGTCGCTACCGTCACGTCGCTGAAGACCCCCACCTCGTCGTAAACGGGCGGCTCGGGCGCGCACCCGATGGTGATACCTTCCAACTTCTTCGGCGTGATGAGAATCCGCTCCTTCCTCTCCTGCGGCCTCAGGTCGAGCGTGATCCCCGCCGGCTTGTGCGGCGCCGAAGGCCAAGACTCGTGGATGGCCACCTTCCTCACTTGGCCTGCCAACTCCTTCGATACTACGAAATAATCTATTGTGGAACATCCACTCG